ACATTTGATCTACCCGGGTCCCTTCAGAATAAAGGCTATTCGGATGTCATTTGTGGTAGCTTATTTTAGTTAAACTGAAGAAGTAAATTTCCAAACGTATAGTCCATTCAATAATCTAACATTTGATACCAAATTTTGTCTTACAAACCCAACAATAATATTTAAATATTTTTTTTTAATAAACCCGACCTCTCTCTCTCTTGAATCCCGGATCCGAATAGTTACAGCCTAACGCAACGAACAGATGGCTGCGGCTGTTCGGACCCGGCATCAGAAGTGAGAGGTAAGGTTTATTAAAAAAATATTATTTTTTGGGTTTGTGCTGAGTGTATTTTGCCAGCTTTGAGCGTGTGTGGACAGTGTCGCGTGTGTGGACAGTGTCGCGTGTGTGGACGGCGCTGAGCGTGTGTGGCTGAGTTTGTGTCCGCCAGTAACAAGATCTGTGAGTCAAAGATGTCGTACAATCATCTCGTGGGCCAATTTAGTGGCACTGACGTCATTAGCGGCCCGATCTCAATCGGTCTGGAAAATGTCATGGACTCTCGAACCAGACTTTGTGACGTCAGGCAGGGGAAAAAACCCTTAAAAAATTGCCACCCGCTTGAACATTTTATAAAAATCATTTTCATAAAAATATCAGAAAGCCCGTTTTTAAAAAAAAATAAAGACACTTTTTTTTTATTGCCCAATGAAATTATCATAAATGTCTTCGTCTGATTTTATTCCCTCCTCGTTCCTCACTGCTAGCACAATTAGAGAAAGTTGCGGTTTAATATATATATATATATATATATATATATATATATATATATATATATAATATAAGATTAAGACCCGTGACAGTAAAACACCCAAAGAAAAATAATACTAACACTACTGAAGACAGTGGAGTAGACCTAAATGTCAAGGTTGTTTTACTCAAACAAATACGTCATCAAATGCAAGGTATTATTTTCAGAAAACTGAAGCAAAAAGAGGTGTTTTTTTTTTTGGGTGGGGCGGAACTTCCTCCATCAACTTGTTTGAAGTTAAACAGCTTGACCCTAAAGATCTGGAGTACGCATGTCACCACGTCAAGGAACCCAGGTCTAAAGTAAAGCCCCCACCACCCCTTTTTTTGCACCCCTAGGCCCGCCCCAGGGACTGCGTCATCATGACCTTTTCTCACAAGCCCTATTTCTGTCGCAGGCATACAATTTTGTTTTTAGGTTGAATGTTTCTCAATTTATATTCACTTCCTTGAATTTATATAGTATAATTATTCTAGTTGCTAACTCGTCTACTAAGCCAACAATTGCAATATTTTTTTCCGACCCGACAATGACAATACTATTTTCCTATGTTTTAATAGATTTTAACCTCCAATAAAATACAGATTCTTCGCTGACGACATGAGGCCATCCAATTCCACAATGAGAACCGTTATTACAGACTTTCCCTTTGTCATCATCTTTGGTTCGCGACATCCAATTTTTGTCCCCAACAAAGCGGGAGTGACGTCCACTTTTTAAAAATAACGTCTTTATTTTTATTCAAGATGGCAACAGAAGATTCGTTGTGCATAGAAAGTTACAATTTTGGTAGAAATCCACCTCAAGGCTTCCCAAAATATGGCAAATGGCGAATGAAGGCTTCTTGAAATATCTTTGATGTCGAACAGATTTCTTCTCACTGACCTAATGCCTCTTACCCAGCCTCAGGCTTAACCCCCATGTAACTGCCAGTGTTACTCAGAGGAGATGCACAATTAAATCCGTCCTTTGTTGCATAACTTTTAAACTAAAATTAATCTTCAAAATGGAAGACATCACTTGCACAGTTTGTAGGGTATTGATCCATGATTGAGGCAACACCATGGACCAGTGATCTTTTTTTTTTTCCCCAGATGTAACCAAGCATCCGAGATAATTGACGCACCTTTCAGATTTCACTGGGAGAAAAATTTGACTCGCGGTTCAGTATGACTATTATGGTCCAGATATGACCAATCACCTGTAACGCCCATTTAATAATAGACCTTCCTTTACACATTAATGCACCAGTAAGTTTATGGCAAAATCTTACAGGGCAATATGTTCTGATGTTATTACAACACATCTCAGCATTGAACAAAATCCCACTTAATAATTAGAATACACCGTAAAATAACCGTTTATTAATACATATCTACATACGATGACAATTTAACCAAATACTATACACACACACATCTTTAGCACACACACATATTTTGTACACATACATCTTTAGTACACATACATCGTTAGCATAGTTTGCACAATGAATCTTTATAACAATTGTGCATTAAAAAAAGAGCTATTCAAGTCACAAAACAAAGAAACAGCATTTGTAAAAGCATTTAAAACCAGCCTTTCACCTGTCCAAGCAGTTAAACTCAGCCTTTCACCTGTCCAAGCAGTTAAACTCAGCCTTTCACCTGTCAAAGCAGTTAAACTACGCCTTTCTATTGTAAAAGCAGTTAAACTCAGCCTTTCACCTGTCAAAGCAGTTAAACTCAGCCTTTCACCTGTCAAAGCAGTTAAACTCAGCCTTTCACCTGTCAAAGCAGTTAAACTCAGCCTTTCACCTGTCAACGCAGTTAAACTCAGCCTTTCACCTGTCAACGCAGTTAAACCCAGCCTTTCACTTCTCAAAGCAGTTAAACTCAGCCTGTCACCTGTAAAACCAGTTAATCTCAACCTTTTAATTGTAACCAACAATTTTCAAAAAGTCAGATTTCAAATCGCTCAGCGATTCTCAAATCGTGTCCTACAAACATAAATCTTCAAACACCAGAAAATGTAACTGCCTGGGTGCTTGTTGTTCAAACAAGAGTCGTGTGTGCTTTGTGGTTCTTCGCTTACACTTTTCATAACTGTTTTTAAAAAATGTTCAATGCATTATTATGTTAAAAAAATTTCCTTTTAATTTGGCATCCTTTCAAGACTGTATCATCATTTGCCTTTCAGGACGAGTATTTCGTAGATGAGAAGACGACTACGGGCGACAACCCAACAGGCGAAGTTAAATCCGATTAGTGCTCGGTTCAAGTCTCTGCTTACATTTACGAAAGGATTCGAATATCTTAAGGCATTTAAGAGTTAACAGTACGACACTCGACATCAGCGGTAATCGATGCCGTCGTCAGATGAAACGTTGCATGAGGATACGAAAGTCCTCGTAGTTGAGCTTCTTGTCGTAACCCTTACAGAACGGAGCCAGCATCGCCTCGGCTTCAGACGATGACAGGTGCATACCTGGGGATCAAGAGGTCACAGTTTTAGTAAAGAGCCGGATCCATGTCAATGTTAGGAGCAGTCAATGTTAGGAGCAGTCAATGTTAGGAGCAGTCAATGTTAGGAGCAGTCAATGTTAGGAGCAGTCAATGTTAGGAGCAGTCAATGTTAGGAGCAGTCAATGTTAGGAGCAGTCAATGTTAGGAGCAGTCAATGTTAGGAGCAGTCAATGTTAGGAGCAGTAAATGTTAGGAGCAGTCAATGTTAGGAGCAGTCAATGTTAGGAGCAGTCAATGTTAGAAACAAAAATTTTAGGAACAAAACAACCCCTCCCCCCCGTAAATATTAGTTATTTAATGGGATTCAGTAGCGGGTGCAGTAGGTGAATATGATGCACTGAACAACAAACGCTTTGTGAAAATTGATTCTTTACCTAGACAGGCGCTCGTCCAGAGCTGCCATAATGATTGACATTTAAATGAAGACATATTTATGAAGTTGCAGACTGGGTTTGGAGGGGAGACCATATTTGCTAAATCCTTTTTTTTTTAAATGCTGGCATCCGTCTGTTACGGTGTAGACTTCGAACGACGAAATACATAAGGATTGGGATTATTCTCTCTTAGGATAAGCCGGGTCCTACAGCAAATCGTCTCTCTCCACACCGCTGGATAGCCAAAGGGAACATCATGTGGATGATACAGCTTGGCACCGGTGGCGTCGCGGGAGTTGTCGGCATGTTTCATTGTGCCAATGTTATCCACCTACGGAACTCCATCTCCGGGTTTGAATTCAGAGTTTCCTTCTTAGGCGAGTTGCCATCTTAGGGGTGCTGGTGATGATTTTGCCTGACTGGACTTTGGTGGGGATTGAACTCCCCATCATGAACTTGGAAGTGGCCCACTTTAGACCACGCGACAACCCAGCACTCGCAAAATCCTTATTCGCAGGTATTTAAGTAATTTTTTATGGGTATCTGGTGCTAATCATATCCATCCATAAAAATGTCACTGTATTAGACTCATGAATTACTATAAAAAAATTATTATTATATATATATATTACGTATCTCATAGGGTGAATGTTTGATTATTTACTACAATGTCCATAATTCAAAGGAAATGAGCGAAACAAATTATGGGAAATCCTGAATAAAATGACATAATTAGTAAAGTCAATACAGAGAGTACATACAAAACCGAATCGAGACATAATACAGAGAACTTTATGTAAAGACATAATACAGAGACCTTCATGTACATACATAATACAGAGACCTTCATGTAAAGACATAATACAGAGACCTTCATGTAAAGACATAATACAGAGACCTTCATGTAAAGACATAATACAGATACCGGATGCAAAGACATGAATATTACATTGGCAGTAGTGCAGGGATAGATCATCATATGATACAGACCTGTTTACCCCTACGCTTTCGGGGTAGTAACTACGTTTTTAAGCCTAAGACTACGCCACTACGACGAGTGTAAAAAAAAATACGGTTTTGGGAGGGTTTTTTTTTCGTTTTTTTAAAAATTATTTTTTAATTAAAAGAAGCTTGTGCTAACTTACTTAAGCAGTTGAGTGGATTTCCTTACATAACTTGTATTTTGATTGCAAACAAGCCCCCTTCCCCTCTACCGCCCTCCCTTTGACAAAACTGCACTTTGAAGATTGAAACTACATATCTAAGAGCAGAAACCTACCCTCCGACACTAACCCAGGTCTGCAGATCTTACCCAGCAATCTCATGGAGTCCCTGAACTCGTGAGGCGTGATGTACCCATCTCCGTCACGGTCAAAGTGGAAGAACATAGAGAGAGAGCCGTTGTCGCCACTGGTCTTCATGTACTTCTTCATGAAGCTGACAAACTCGCTGAAATCAAGCTTACCGTCACCTTTAAAATACAAATAAACTGTTTAGTAAATCGTATATCAGCTTTTATCAACTTTTTTTTTATCAATAAACTGTTTGGTAAAGGTATATCAGCTTTTATCAATTTTTTTTAAAATCAATAAACTGTTTGGTAAATGGTATATCGGCTCTTTACAACTTTTTAAAACCAATAAACTGTTTACTAAATGATATATCAGCTTTCTCAATTTTTATTTAACCGATCAACTGTTCAGTAAATGATATATCCGCTTTTATCGACTTTTATTTATCAACAAACTGTTTACTAAATGATATTTCAGCTTTTCTCAAATTGATTTTACCAATAAACTGTTTGATAAATGGTAGGCCTATACCAACTCTCAACTTTTAAAATTCTTTTGTTCGTTAGCTTTATTTACCCCTGAGTCTCCTTCCTCCTCTGTTTTCAATATAAAAATGTGGTTGGTTTATTTAAAAATTATATTTTTTTCCTTTGATTAGTTCCCGAAATTTACTTATTTTAATTCCCTTTAGTGCCATTTATCCCACTTGTAGCTCCCTGGAGGGCCATATATACCACTTGTAGCTCCCTGGAGGGCCAAAGGTCCCACTTTATGCTCCCTGTAGTGCCTTATATCCCACTTGTAGCTCACTGGAGGGCCAAAGGTCCCACTTTATGCTCCCTGTAGTGCCTTATATCCCACTTGTAGCTCCCTGGACGGCCTTAGTCATACTTTATGCTCCCTGTAGTGCCATATATCCCACTTGTAGCTCCCTGGACGGCCTTAGTCCCACTTTATGCTCCCTGTAGTGCCATATATCCCACTTGTAGCTCCCTGGACGGCCTTAGTCCCACTTTATGCTCCCTGTAGTGCCTTATATCCCACTTGTAGCTCCCTGGACGGCCTTAGTTCCACTTTATGCTCCCTGTAGTGCCATATATCCCACTTGTAGCTCCCTGGACGGCCTTAGTCCCACTTTATGCTCTCTGTAGTGCTATATATCCCACTTGTAGCTCCCTGGAGGCCTTAGTCCCACTTTATGCTCCCTGTAGTGCTATATATCCCACTTGTAGCTCCCTGGAGGGTCTTAGTCCCACTTTATGCTCCCTGTAGTGCTATATATCCCACTTGTAGCTCCCTGGAGGGCCTTAGTCCCACTTTATGCTCATTGTAGTGCTATAAATCCCACTTGTAGCTCCCTGGACGGCCTTAGTCCCACTTCATGCTCCCTGTAGTGCCATATATCCCACTTGTAGCTCCCTGGAGGGCCTTAGTCCCACTTTATGCTCCCTGTAGTACCATATATCCCACTTGTAGCTCCCTGGACGGCCTTAGTCCCACTTTATGCTCCCTGTAGTACCATATATCCCACTTGTAGCTCCCTGGAGGGCCTTAGTCCCACTTTATGCTCCCTGTAGTACCATATATCCCACTAGTAGCTCCCTGGAGGGCCTTAGTCCCACTTTATGCTCCCTGTAGTACCATATATCCCACTTGTAGCTCCCTGGACGGCCTTAGTTCCACTTCATGCTCCCTGTAGTGCCATATATCCCACTAGTAGCTCCCTGGAGGGCCTTAGTCCCACTTTATGCTCCCTGTAGTACCATATATCCCACTTGTAGCTCCCTGGAGGGCCTTAGTCCCACTTTATGCTCCCTGTAGTGCCATATATCCCACTTGTAGCTCCCTGGAGGGCCTTAGTCCCACTTTATGCTCCCTGTAGTGCCATATATCCCACTTGTAGCTCCCTGGAGAGCCAAAGGTCCCATTTTATGCTCCCTGTAGTGCCATATATCCCACTTGTAGCTCCCTGGACGGCCTTAGTCCCATTTATGCTCCCTGTAGTGCCATATATCCCACTTGTAGCTCCCTGGACGGCCTTAGTCATACTTTATGCTCCCTGTAGTGCCATATATCCCACTTGTAGCTCCCTGGAGGGCCTTAGTCCCACTTTATGCTCCCTGTAGTGCCATATGTCCCGCTTGTAGCTCCATGAAAGGCCACATCTCCCAATTTAATTATCGGCGCATTTAGTTTAAGTTAGTGACCTCACAGAGCCTCGTTATAGCACGCTGTGTAAAAAAAAATAATGAGCACACCAACACCACACAAACTCCACAGACTAACCATCCACAGTCTTACCATCTACAGAATTACCACCCACAGACTTATCAACCACAGACTTACCACCCACCGAATTACCACCCACAGAATTACCTTCCCCACACCTACCATCAAAATACTTCCTATCAACAGACTTACCACCCACAGTCTTATCAACTACAGACTTACCACCCACAGAATTACCACCCACTTAATTACCTTCCCCACACCTCCCATCCAAATACTTCCCATCAACAGACTTACCATCCACAGACTTACCACCCCCACACCTACCATCCACAGACCTACCATTCACAGACCTACCAGCCACAGACCTACCCTCCACAGACCTACCATTCACAGACCTACCATTCACAGACCTACCATTCACAGACCTACCATTCACAGACCTACCATTCACAGACCTACCATCCACAGACCTACCATTCACAGACCTACCACTCACAGACCTACCATTCAAAGACTACCAGCCACAGACATACCAGCCACCCTCTAACCCTCCACAGACCTACCATCCACAGACCTACCATTCACAGACCTACCATCCACAGACCTACCAACCACAGACTAACACGCCACAGACTAACCCTTCACAGACCTACCATCCACAGACCTACCATCCACAGACCTACCATTCACAGACCTACCACACACAGACCTACCATTCACAGACTACCAGCCACAGACATACCATCCACAGACCTACCATCCACAGACCTACCAGCTACAGACCTACCAGCTACAGACCTACCAGCTACAGACCTACCATTCACAGACCTACCATTCACATACCTACCATTCACAGACCTACCAGCTACAGACCTACCAGCTACAGACCTACCAGCTACAGACCTACCAGCTACAGACCTACCATTCACAGACCTACCATTCACAGACCTACCATTCACAGACCTACCATTCACAGACCTACCATTCACAGACCTACCATTCACAGACCTACCATCCACAGACCTACCATTCACAGACCTACCACTCACAGACCTACCATTCAAAGACTACCAGCCACAGACATACCATTCACAGACCTACCATTCACAGACCTACCATTCACAGACCTACCATTCACAGACCTACCATTCACAGACCTACCATTCACAGACCTACCATTCACAGACCTACCATTCACAGACCTACCATCCACAGACCTACCAGCTACAGACCTATCAGCTACAGACCTACCATTCACAGACCTACCATTCACAGACCTACCATCCACAGACCTACCAACTACAGACCTACCAGCTACAGACCTACCATTCACAGACCTACCATTCACAGACCTACCATTGACAGACCTACCAGCCACAGACCTACCATCCACAGACCTACCATTAACAGACCTACTATTCACAGACCTACCAGCCACAGACCTACCATTCACAGACCTACCATCCATATCGAATTCCTCAATAAGGACCAGGGCGTCATCCTTGGAGATCGGCATTTCCATGTCACGGAATGCGTTACAAATCTCTTCTGACGTAATCAGTCCGTCCTTGTTCTTATCAAAGACAACGAATCCTTCTTTGACATCTGGGGGATGACATAGGATTCATGACATGGGATACATGACATAGGATACATGACATGGGATACATGACATGGAATACACGATATGGAAGACATGACATGGGACACATGACATGGAATACATGACATTGCATACATGAAATTTAGGCCCTGCTAACCAGGGCCGGTCCCAGAGGTATTTTTACCTGAGGCAGGAGCGTACATTTGTGTCTCTATGTACATAGTTACAAATAAATATATTTCAAATAAGTATTTTTAAGAAACTTGGCGCCCTCTCCCATTGTTCACCCGAGGCAAGTGCCTCGTTCTCCCCACCGTTGTGCCTCGTTTGCCCCACCATTGTGCCTTGTTTGCCCCACACTTGTGCCTCGTTCGCCCAACCCTTGTGCCTCGTTCGCCCCCCACCGTTGTGCCTCGTTTGCCCCACCATTGTGCCTCGTTTGCCCCACCCTTGTGCCTCGTTCGCCCAACCCTTGTGCCTCGTTCGCCCCCCACCGTTGGGCCTCGTTTGCCCCACCCTTGTGCCACGTTCACCCCACCCTTTTTTCAGACTCTGATGCCTTTATCCCTCCCCCAGTCTATTCTTAAAATTAATGTAAAAAAAAAAAATAATTAAATAATGCCTAGACCTGTGTTTCAAGTTATGTCACGTGGCCTATGGCATTACACATATCGAGTCAATAGTCTATTTTTTTACGTTTATACTAGCAAATTATTTTAGATTTAAAAAAAAAAAAAACTTTTGGATTACCAAATTAAATTACTAAATTATTTTTGCTAGCATTTGGTATCTACGAAAATAGATTCGAAATGAACTGCTAACTATGACATCATACGTTTGTACAGATTGAAGCTCAGCCAGATCTTGTTAAGCGAAGTTTGATTACAATTTTCGTATTCTAAGTGGAAATAAAGTAGATGCCTGGGACACAATACATTTTGTGTAAGTGAAACCATATAGTTTAAGCTTTAGTTATCATTATCATTTCGGCCAAAGCCTTCAACACCACAATAAAAAAAACAACATGAATATACTTTGTTTTGTTTTTTAATTTTTAGGTATATTATGTGAATTTAAATTTATAACAGAAAAAAAAAACAAAAAAAAAAAACAAAAAAAAAAAAAAAAAAAAAAAAAAATAAAATAAAAAAAGAAAAAAAAAAAAAAAAAAAAAAAACAAAAAAAAAAAATAACAACAGCAGGAGTGAGAATGGAATGGGCTCACACGTCCTTGAAGAAAACGAAAATCAGAAGAAATGAAGAACTTACCGTACAGAGCTGCCTGAGTGGAGGTGGAAAGAAAGGGAGATAAAATAAAAAAGATGATAATGTGTAGCAGTTACATCACTTTAAACAAGCTTGATGACAGTAAGTGCCCTAGTATTTACCCTCATAACAGTTACCATTATCGAAGTGGCTATTCGCAGCCGATCATCAGATGCGAGAGGCTGGGATTGGCGAATAATCGCAGCCTATTATTATATTAGAATAAATAACATTATGTTCATCACAATATCATCTGCTAATATCAATACTACAAATACCTTAAAGGAACACTGATCCCATGAGACATTCGTCTTGTGCCGCAAATTCAGTAACTTAATATTTAAATTGTTTTTAAAAAAATAAAAATAAATTTCCCGATGCTAGAAAATTATGAAAACTGCTTATTATATTAAATGCCCCAGCATTATGTGAAATTGAATTTTTTTTATGCTTCTTTGCATTTGTGTCCATCCCAAATAATGGAAAGAATTCAAAGAATTACATTTAGTCAATTTTAAAGTTAAGCCCGTTTAACTAAAAGTGCACCATTAAAGGACACAACTCTATATCAACCTACGGTTGCGTCGCTTGGTATTGCCTTACTGTTTCTAAAACACCAGCAACAAAGCGGCATTACTGGCACTTGTATTCAGTGAAAACTACATCACAGACTAATTCTGTTAGCAGGATGGCGGCAACAGGAAGTACAAGAGGATTGAAATTGGAGACCGGAATTTTTTTAGCTCTTAATTACCATTAATACGTTTAGAAATAAAATAAATAAATAAATTGTGACTGAAAAAAATGTATAGCAAAATAGAAATAAAGTCGAAAGAATCAATATAACATACAATATAAGAGAGAATTATTTAAAACTAGCTGAGCATTGTAAAAATATTGAACTAAGGAATATTCCGCTAAGGAAAATAAGGAAAACAATAAAACGTGACGTATGATGGTTTTGTTTAGAAATTGACGTCATCAAATTGGTCGCAGTATTTTCATAAGGCAGAAGTTATGAAATATATACATAAGAAATAAAAAATGATTTCAAATTAAATGATACCAAGGTGAAATGGTTTTGTGATAAACTAAGGACACAATAATTTAAATAAATTATGTGAATGTGATAAATAAAGTTTTTCATATTAATAACTTAAATAATTTGTCGCATTAAATTTAATCGTTTGAATTCTCTTAAAAACCTTTTAAGTTAATTAACTTCGCTTTTTTTTTCGTGTGTTTAGGGCGAATTCTTCGGATGACCAATTGAGCCACTTACCGTCATCCTATCAAAATGAAACATGACACATAGACTCGTTTCCAATGCCAACACATTCTTTCACAGTTTCCAACCTCCCACCCCCACACCAATCGCGGTTTCCGCTCTGGATTCTCAACGGAAACTCAATTAATAATCACCACCAATGACCTCCTAGCCTCCTATGACAAAGGTACCCAGGTCGACATGGCAATCCTCGACTTCTCCAAGGCCTTGGACACTGTTCCACACAGCCTTCTTCTACATAAGCTCCACCACTACGGCATTACGGGCAACCTTCACTCTTGGCACTCAACATTCCTAACACAACGTACCATGCAAGTAGTGGTGGACGGCGTCCGATCAGGGAAAGTGCTGTTCCCCCTTCTCTTCATCTGTCACATAAATGACCTACCCGATACAGTAAAATGTCAAGTGAGGCTGTTTGCTAATGACTGTCTTGTCTTCAGAGAGATAAACAGCTACGATGACCACAACAACAACCTCCAAACAGATTTGAAGTGCCTTATGAATTAGGCGGACAAATGGGGCATGAAATTTAATAAAACCAAATGCTACACTATGAAAATCTCCAGCAAAAACAAAAAACAAACCATCAACTCATATTTACTCACTAAACGAGGCAATCCTCCAACAAGTATCCAATAGTCCCTCATTCCTTGGAATTCTCTTCTCAAATAACCTAAAATGGTCCCCACGTAAAAAAAAAATAAAAAAAAAAAAGCCAACTCCACCCTAGGTCTCATCCGAAGAAATCTGCGCCACTGCCCAACTTCCTGCAAACTAAATGCCTACCTCGCACTCGTCCGACCACTACTAGAATATGGTGCGATCATCTGGGACCCACACCTTAAGCAAGACCTGGACAAGATGGAAAGAATTCAAGGTAACGCGGTGCGTTTTATCGCTCGAGACTACGAATCCACCATTTCTGGTTTCGTCACTGGCCTCTTAAAAAGGTTCAACCCCCCCCCCCCTTTTAAAGACAGACGAGAGGGACTCCGCCTAATATTCTTATATAAAGTGATCATGGGTCTGGTGCCGGCCATCCCAGGTGGCACGTATCTCACCCCACAGAAGCCAGGCAGATTGATCAGAGCAAAACGCTCACTGAACACTGACTTCACCACTAACATTCCCATATTCAATTACACCCGAAACAATAGCAAATGCTTCAAAGTGCCTTAGTGCAACACAGTGCAGTATCAACAATCCTTCCCACGTACAATAATAGCATGGAACCACCTGGACGATGCCACTGTGAACGCGACATCGGTCGAAAGCTTCAAGGCTGCCTTGGCATCAGCTAGAAGCTGTTAGAATAGCAACATCATACCCCCAACCGTTGAAAAGATGCCAGTAAATGGATGCAGCAATGAAACATTACCAGAACCATCTACAAATCAGTTTCAACTCTACCAGAAGACACCGATTTTACGAAACGAAATTCCCGATAAACGCGCTAAATGATATTCCTAATAATATCGCAAGCGCTTTCGGTTCGTAATTTTTGGTCTTGTGTTAAACATAAATAATTGGCGTTATAAATATCGGTGTAAAAGCGCGTGGGACATTAGAATAGTAAAATAGATCAGGGGCGTGGATTTTTTTTTTCCGGTTGAAATCCTTTGGGTGGGTGGGTGGGTTGGGGGGGGGGCGCACTAATTGGTATACCGTACTTATAAAGTGCCCTACTTGTTTGCATGATTTGTCCAAATTTTCACTCAAACCCCCAATGCCGGAGATTACATTTGATAAAGGTATTGTACGAAAAACTTTGTTTTTTTTAAGGTTTGTTTGATTCGTGACGTGTTCTCTGTTTTTTAGAAATGAATGTCTCTGTTGAAACAGTGTTAAACGTAATGTATAGGTAACGTTATTTTTATTTTTTTTTAAATCCGACGCCGCCAATAAAATGGGCAGACACTTAAGTAATATTAGGTTGTAATCTGGACGATCTCCCACCAGGACAATAAAACAGCAACCCTCGTCTTGACACAAACTTAGTTGAAAGTAAACAAAAAAAAAAATAACACACAGAAAAACAAGAAACTGTTACTCGTGGACCTGTAGGGATATCGAGTGGTACAGGCGACGACGCGTCAAGTTCTTCAGTGGATCATAAAAGCCATAATTTAAGCCAGTATAAAAGCCATTATAAAAGCAATTATAAAAGCCACGTGTATCATAATTGCCGTAAGTCCCAACAGGGGAAATAAAAATAGAAGCAATTTTAAACCAAAATTTTAATTTGATTTAAATAAAATGTTACAGTCCTTATAAAAATCATTATAAAATCCATAACAAATGCCATAATAAAAACATTATAAAATCCATAATAAAAGTTATTATAAAATTCATAATAAAAGCCTTTATAAAAGCCATAATAAAAGCCATAAAAAGCCATTATAAAAGCCATAATAAAAGCATTAAAAGCCATTATAAAAGTGATGA